AGCAGCGACCTCCAGCAGCTACTGGTTCTGATCCAGCAGCTACTGGTTCTGATCCAGCTGCTACTGGTTCTGATCCAGCTGCTCTGGAACCAGACCCGACTGTGGCCTTCAAACAAAGACCTGGACCACAGCAGCTCCAGACTCAGGAAGACGTGAGGAGACGAGCAGGAAGCTCCTGAAGCAGATTCTAGCGCTGAAGCTTCATCTTCAGAACAACACGACGTCAGCTGGCAGCGAGCCGGACCAGCGCCGCCCCAGATCAGTCCAACCGTTCACTCTGCAGACGGAGCTGTTCTGGCCTGAAACGCTTCGTCTGTCTGCAGCAGAACCACGTGTTCTGTTCTCGGTCACTGGCCGCTTTGCTTTAAGGTGCTGAACCTTTTATAAACCACCTGGATCTTGGGCTCCCCGGTACCGACCCATGATCAGGCTCTGGTCCCGATGCAGCGGTCGTGGGTTCGACTCCCGACCACAACCGGCCGCTGCAGGACTCTCCTCCCCCCTCCTGTCTCCCCCCACTGCTCTGATCAGTGAAGAACCGCTGACCCGTCCCACCACAAGAACATGTTTGATCAGAACATGTTTGATCAGAACACGTTTGATCAGAACACGTTTGATCAGAACACGCTGATGTTTGCTGTAAACTGTTCAGAAGCTTCACTCACACCAAAGAGGGAATTTCCTCGGAACCGGACCTCAGATGGAAGAAATCCTCGTTATCTGAGTGACTCAGTGAAACGCTTCCATCAGCTGTGGCAGAACTTTGGTTCTGATTTCTGCAGCCAGCGCTCCGCTTTGGACTCAGTTTCTTCCCTCTGACAGAACTTAAAGGTCAGACGACATAAACTCGCCCAGAAAGGATTCAGAATCATCCTGAAACCACTCAGCGTGTTGAAAATGACTAAAACCAGCAAGATGACAGCACGATGACCCAAAACAAGTCAAAGTGTGTCTGAAATAAAGGAAATGTGTCTAAAGTGACTGAACAAGTCCAGAAACACAAACTAAAACCCAAATAGTCCAAAATGACGACAGTAAGTCCAGAACAAGTCGGACTCGTGCCAACATGTCCGACGTTATGAGAACAAAGCATTTGTGTAGAACTACATGAAGGTTTCATAAATGACAGACTGGACTCTGAATCCGTCTGAAGTGACTCTAAACGTGTCACTGACTCTGATTTAACGAGTCAGCAGCTGTTCTATCAAAGACACACTCACATGAAGATCCTGTCAGACGTGGACCTGCTGCTGCCTTCTAGTCTGCCGTCAGTCTTTGGTTTGTTCAAACTGACTTCATTTAAAATGACAATGCAACAGTTTCTCCAGAACCGTCGGGTCAGCAGCTCAGTGACTCACCTTCCTCCTGGTCTTCGTCATCGAGGTCGCGGCCTCCACGAAGCTCCACAGCACAAAGAGCCTGCAGAGACGGAGAGCAGGAGGTGAGAACGGCGACACATTCACACAGCTGAACATCTGCAGCATGAATGAGCTCTTTAAGGTTGGTTCCATGAGCTCAGCCGGATCGGCAGAACCAGGCTGGAGCTGTGGCGGGTGCAGATGATCCGGTCTGTGGACTCCACAGGTGTCTGTGGGCTCAGAGGAGGAAGCTAAAGGTTCTGTTTCAATCAAGGTCCAACACAAACATCTCCATGAACCTGAGGAGGCCTGAGAACAAACCAGCATCTACAAACCACGAAAAGCTTCAAAGAACTCAGAGTTTGTCCAGAACGTTTGAAGAGTTCTGAAAAATTACAACAACTGGTCCAAGATGTGTCCGTGATCACTCAAACTGTCCAGAATTTCCATCAAACCCTGTCAGACTGGAGACAAACTGGCTCAGAATCATCTCAAACGTTCCCAGAACGACATGAACTCGTCCAAAAGGACAAATAAACGTACAGAACAACTCCCAGTTTGTCAGAAATAACTAAAACCTGCCAAGATGACCAAGAATTAGTCAAAAAGGATTCAAAGTGTCCAGAATGACAGCAGCTAAGTTCACCAGGGCTGGTCCATGAGCACAGAACCCGACCCGTCTCCGTCCAGAATGACCGACGGTGTTTTAAACGTGTTGAGGGAAACTACAGGCGTCTGGACTCACAGGAGCAGAACCAAAGCCTCTGTTTCCCTTCAAGGTCCAAATAAACATCTCCATGAACCTGTGGAAGTTCCCACAAACTTCCAGGTTCTAAACCTTGAAAACATCTCGTCAGCTTTCTGGCAGAAGTCAAATTTCACCCACAGAATTAAAAGCTGCGTCTCCGTCGTCCAAACGGTTCAACGTTAACTCAGAACTACAAAATAGAGTCAAAACTCGGGGCGCCGCTACAGCTCACCTGGTGGAGCCGGCGTCCCAGGTGCAGGGCTACAGTCCCCATGTGGAGGTCATGAGTTTGAATCCCACTCATGGCCCTGTCCCACATGTCCTCCCTCATTCTTCTCCCACTTTCCTGCTTCTCTCTCACTGATCAATAAAGGCCCAAAAAATAACTTTACAAAAAAAACAAACAAAGAGAGTCCAGGTTTGTCCTGATCCAGAACAACTGGTCAACAGTGATTCAGAATTCATCCAAGAACACAAAAACTGTCCACAGTGACTCAGATTCAGCCAGAAATGACAAACCCTCGACAACAGGACAGAACCGGGTCCAGAATGAGCCCAACTTTGTTCAAAGTGTCCCAGTTTGTCCAAAGAGACAAAAACTTTCCACGATCACTCCGGAGTCGTCCACAGTGACTCGGCTCTCCTCCAAATAACTCCACTGACCCACAGTGGGCTCAACATGACCCAAAGCTCGTCCAGAATAACTCACAGCCCGTCCACAATGACACCAACTCGGTCCAAAATGACTTCAACTCGGTCCAAACTCATAAAAACCGGATCAAAACGACACAGCGTGTGTCCACACCGACCCTAAAAGCTTCCACAGTGACAAAGAGAGATGGACCGGACCTCCAGTGTGTCCACAACGACCAGAACCGTCCAGTGACCACATCTGATGTTCAGACCTCCATTGGTGTTCTTCCACCAGATGTGAGGAACTCTGTGGGTCAGGAGCAGAACCACAGTGGGTTTTTTCCCTGCAGCTCCAGCAGCAGCCTGTTTCCAGCCTGAAGACTCGGTTCAACCCAACTAGCAAATATCCAGAACCATCCGAGCAGCTTCCCTTCAGCTGGTTCTGGGTTCTGGAGCAGCTTCGTGGAGGTGAAAGTGTCCCACGGTTCCTCCCACAGTCCCTCATTACTCGGCAGCCTCCAGAAAACTCGAGACAAGTGCAGCGAAACAAGTGGAACCTCCACATCTGTCGAGAACTGGACCCGGGCCGCCCAGAACCGACCGTCACCGCAGCCGCAGGCCACATGCGGCCCGGTAATTGGACCCTTCTGCCCAGTGCGGTGCACCGCGGCGGTCTGGGGAAGCTCCCCGCTCCAGACTGCTCAGTCCCCCGAAGAGCCAGACAAAGGTCCGACACAGAGCCGCTCAGGCCGAACTAACGACCCCCTACCCGCGTCCACGTTTCCGCGGCCGCTACTGTGGCACGTTGCAGAGTAAACTGAGCGGAGAGGCTCCCATCAGAACAGCCGCCCTGAGCACGAAACGGGGCCCCGGTGCTGGTCCTTCGGGCTGGACTCGGATCTGCTCGGCGCGCAGCGACCAGGACCCGCCGTGCGTAAAACCAAGAAAGAAGCAAAACACGTTTCCAAACAGCGTCCATGTGCCGCTCAGAGTTTTACCTGAACAGCAGACCGAGCCGCATGCTGCCAGCGTCCGCTCCGCTCCCGATCCCGGTCCGGTTCCTTTTCCTCAGAATCGCGGTGAAGACTCCTCCGGTCCGCTCCGCGCTGCTCCGTCCGTCGCCGTCCTCCTGTCACCGAGGCTCTGCGCGGCGGGGAGGGCTCCGTGTTTTTCTCTCCTCCTTTCGCTCGACAACTTTTTTTTTTTTTGGGTCCTTATTATAAACTGGTGTGACGCCTGGCAGCCGGGGGGCGCTGGGGGAGGAGGGGGAGGAGGGGGGAGACAGGAGACACAAAATGGACAGATTACACAACTCCGTGCCTCTGGTTCACACGCACGAACCCGCACGCTCTGCGGGCCCGAGCTGAGCTGTAATAACTCTCAGAGCCGCTTTCTTAGTTGCACAATCCGACGTAAGAATGCTCCATTGTGCTGAATCCCACTGATCAGGAGCAACGATAAACTCATCTGCAGCGAGACGTGGGCCAACACAAACACCAACAACCCGCCACAGCACCGCTCCTCTGGCGAGC